GTTCCCCAGTGGCTGAAGCTGGGAACTCAATCAGGGTCTCTTCCTGTGGGTGACAGGGACCCAACCACATGGACCCCCTGATGCCACCCAGGTTCTACATTGGTAGGAATCTGGAACCCAGGCACTCTGATGTGGTTCATGGGCATCTTAAATGTTAGGACAAATGCCTACTCTGTTACATGCTTTGTATCCCTCTAGTACTCTGCACATAGCAGGAACTCAAGAAATGCCAGATGGAGCAAGACTGATCGAACAAACAACAAACTGATGAAGAGAGGAGAACAATCTATTTGGTGCTGACCTTATTTTAAGAAATATTAATGCCAATGGAAACTACATCTAACTCCTAAGAGAAAATTTATATGCTGTCTCTCAAGTAAATAAAAAAAAATTTTTTAAAAAAAGGTCAGTGTTACTGTATGCGGAAAAGGTTTGGATGAAAACTATGATGGAGAATTTTGGACAAGACAAGCACTTAACAAGCAGCTGCAATGGTGGGTAAAAAATACTATGTCATACTGGATGACAAGGAACTTTCTTCTTTTGAAAATCAAGATGGGGACTGGTGTTGTAGCACAATGGGTTGGGCTACCACCTGTGATGCATGCATCCCATGAGGTGCAGTTTGAGTCCTGGCTGCTTCACTCCTGGTACAGCTCCCTGCTAATGTCCTGGGAAAAGCAGCCAAAGATGGTTCAAATATCTGGGCCCCTGCCACCCATGAGGCAGACCTGGATGGAGTTCCAGGCTCCTAGCTTTGGCTTGGCCCAGCCCAGGCCACTGTGGTCATCTGGTGAGAAACAGCAGTCAGAAGATCTCTTCCTCACTCTCTTTCAAATAAATAAAAAAAAAATTCCCCCCCAAAAAAAAAGAAACAGGAAGCATAAAGGATGAGGATTCAAATGATAAAGTTAAAGGAAGGCAGTTGGAGCAAGTGTCTTAAGAGGACTAGAAGAGGCCAGCGCCGCGGCTCACTTGGCTAATCCTCCGCCTGCGGCGCCAGCACCCGGGGTTCTAGTCCCAGTTGGGGCATTGGGTTCTGTGCCAGTTGCTCCTCTTCCAGTCCATCTCTCTGCTGTGGCCTGGGAAGGCAGTGGAGGATGGCCCAAGTGCTTGGGTCCTGCACCTGCATGGGAGACCGGGAGGAAGAACCCAGCTCCTGGCTTCAGATCGGCGCAGAGTGCCGGCTGTAGCGGCCATTTGGGGAGTGAACCAACAGAAGGAAGACCTTTCTCTGTCTCTCTCTCTCACTGTCTAACTCTGCCTGTAAAAAAAAAAAAAAAAAAAAAAAAGAGGACAGGAAGAACTGGAGGCAGACTGGTGTGGGAACACAGGAGGGAAGCTGGGGGCTTTCCATGTTGCTGGCTTGGCTGACTCAGAAAAGGATGTTATAAAATAGCTAGCATGCAGAGTAAACACGTACCATTTGTCAGACAACAAAGCTAGCTCTGCATGTATTCATTTATTCTGTCCTCCAAGTGACCCATCAATTAGGTACTGCTTTCTGTCCTTCATGGATGAGGACACCGAGGCCAGAGCCAGGCAGCTTGCTCTGGCCTCCCAGCCACAGATCTGACTGAGGCCAGAGCCTGAGAGGAGAGCTGTTCTTACAAGACGCCAACAACCCAGAGCCCAGAATTTGGTTTCACTTGACTCATCTCCAAAAGGGGTGGCGGCCAAAGCTGTCAAACGATCAGGATGAGTAATAGCAATGGGTGAGGTGACTGTAGAATGCTGTACACTTAACTTCTGCATGATAGAGACAAACTAACAAATTCCAAACGTGTTCAATCGCATTTTCAGGTAACCCAAGTCAAGCATCTCGGCGTGACCAGATGGACTCTGTATCATCAGAACACAGAGACTCTGGGAGGGGATCTCAGGCATCCTTGATCCTGAGGTTCCCTGCTCATTCACGCAGCCCATACCCACTGAGCACAGCCCTGGGAGATGGGCAGTTACGTTCCTGGTCTTAGGAGCAGGAGCTTGAGTTCTTGCCCTTAGCAGGAGTTACTTTTGTAAGTTTCAGCATTTGGCTTAAGCTCATGATACTTCAGTGCTATTTTAGCTACAGGAATTATTTTAGATCAGGATTTGCATTTTATTCAACTTTGTGAATGCAGCACCTAGTGCAGCACCTGGAACTTTGTAGGTACTCTGTAAATATTAGGTCAAAGAAAAGATAGAAGAGGTGAAGTGTGCAAACAATGAATGGTTAGTAGACATGTCTGTCAGAAGCTTGATGCAAATGCACTGATCTTCTGCATGACATGGAGCTGCCCTGCAGGCAGTACACACAGATGCTCCTTTTTAAAGAGTGCAACCCTAAGTCAAAGACATGGGGAGGAAGATCTTCCAATAGGCTCAATTTGCAAATAGTGAGAGAGATGTTTTGACTGCTTCAATTGGAGTTGGGGGAAATTATTTCTTCAGACTTACTGAGGAAAGGTAAAGTGACAGGACTCTTACGTAACCATCATCAGGCGGTCAACGTTTCACAATAGCAACCTCGGGTGAAGGAGGAGGGGAGGTGACTGGGAACTGGGAAACTGGTACTTTAAAAATGTTCAGAAAATAAGTTAAGGTTTGGTTCCACCTATGAAAGGATGGACGGCTAATACAGCTAATACCTCTAACGTAACAGGCATTAGGAGGACTGAAATAAAAACTCTTCATTACACAATTACCAATTTATCTTGACATTAAAAAAAACAAAGTTGACCATTTGAGTAAACAAATGTGGCTGCTAAAGCAACTCTCTGATGAACTAGGCTTTCTGAAGGGAGGTACAAAAGGCAGATTGGTGCATGAGACAGACTGCTCCTTCCCTGAACAGAAACAAGTGCCTGAAGGCAAGACGGTCCCATATGGGTGGAGGCTTACAGGAAATCTACAGACAGCAACAACCACAAGCCCAGCAACAGTTGCATAAACTCCGTTTCCATACAAACTCTACTGTGCAGATTATATGATTATGGTAACATGACTGAGAAAACAGATTGACTCAAACTCTTATTTTGTATCTTCACCAAAAATATTCTTAACAAAAAAAAGTTATGAATGATTAAGGTTAAGACGAATGTAATGTCCAAAGAAAATTGACAATTGAGAAAGTGAGCATCTACCTACATTAAGTCAGTCTAAGCCTATGAGCCTAGGATAATTATACCCAGGAGGCCCACAGAAAATCTGCTTATTATAGCACCATTGTCTATATCTGGGATAGATCAGAGAGAATGGAAAGAGATTTTGGAAAATAGGCCATATGTCAATTTAAAGGAGACAAAGGATTCTGAAAGCTACAGAAAACTAGGCTTGACATTCACAACCGAAAACTCTTCAGGAAGAACCGTTAAACAGATGATTTACGACAATTAGAAAAGAAAGCACTGGCCACCAGGAGCGGGCACAGGTTCAGGAAGAACACGCCATGGCTGACTAACTTCAGTTTATTTTCAAAATACAGTTTCCAGCAAAGGAATGCTGCAAACATAATGTGTTTTGAGTTCAGACAAGGCACAGGCCAAGTGTTTTAAGACTTTATTGTGGGAGTAGAATTGTTGTGTTCAGAGCTAACTCCACTCAGGGAGGAAGGAGTGTGCTCAATGTTGTTCTGCAGGAAAGTCTTTAGAACCACAGAGCTCTGTCCTTGGTTCTGTACAATTTAACTGATTTTAGAGGAGGGCATAAAAGTTATGTGCATTTAACGTAAGCTGGCAGGCAGGCATAGGTAAAGTCTAAGTTCATATTATCAGGATTCAAAAATATCCCAATTAGCTAAAAAATGATTTAAAATTATCAAGATAATTTCATTTTAAATTTTGCCTTAAATTTATATCATCAGAAAAAGAAATCAAGGGTGGGTGAAGTGTCACTCAAAGTGAAGCCCCCATCTGGGACACCTGCAGTCCATATTCAAGTGCTGGGGTGGAGTCCCGGCTTCACTGCCAATCTAGATTCCCGTTAATGCACACCCTGGGAAGCGTCAGGTGATGGCTCAAGTCCTTGGCTCCCCACCACCCATATGGGAGACCCAGGTGGAGTTGTAGGCTTCTGACTTCAGCTTGGGCTTGAACTGGTAGTTACCAGCATTTGAAGAATGTCCCAGCAAATGGAAAATCTGCTTAACTTTCAAGTAAATAAAAATCAATAATAACATGTAAAACACTCTCACCATCATCACCACCACCAAAACTCCACTCAAATCAAATGCTGAAATCCAGAACAGAGGAGGAACACCTAGCGGCAGCTGCTGTGAAGAGCACCAAGCGATTCTGGCTGCTTTAAACTGCGTGAGCTGACAGCGTGCACATTCAGAGCCAAGACAGAGGCTAACAGGACTGCACTGACCAGAGCACACAGCGCACTTGTTCGTTTCTGTGCCACCTTCTAGGTAAGGACAATGGCACGCTGATTGTCAGGACACAGAAAAGACTAAGAAGGTTTTAGAAAACCACGTCACCTGATGGCCAAGGGAAATGAGGATGTTTATATTCGGGCAGAAGAAATAGGGGAATTCAAATTAGTTTTCCACATGCAGGGCATGAGAAATACAATATGTTCTATCCAGTTTCAGAGGTCATGGCCTGGAGACATGACTGGAATTTACATGGAGGCAGAGCTGGGGTCAATACAGTGAAGCATCCTCTGGGGACTACGGCTGCCATACATGGAATGTGGCACTCTGTGTGGGTGACCTCCCTGGTACTGGGACCCCAGGAAGAGTGCTACAGACAGTGCTGATTGGGTGGCCAGAAAAATGCACTCCAAAGCCACTCAGGGCTGCAACTGGCCATGAAGGACTCTTTCAATAAAATGAAGATGAAGAATCAAGGAACAGCGATTTTCTTCCGAATGACTTTGTATTGCTATTTCTGCCCCCTCTCTTTCAGCCTGCCAAAAGAATGTCTGAACATGACTGTAAAAGATATTCAATCACATAATAGGCTTTGACAATATCACATTAGGCTTCAGGAAAACATAGTCTTCTGTCTACTCACTGTTTTTGCACTGACAAGTTCGACAGCCATTGTGATCGAGTTTGAAACCATAAATGCAGTCCTTCTCTGTCAGAGTGCAGTTGGATAACTCCCCACATGCAGGTGGATCAATTGTGATGTAGGTTGGTTCTAATAACAAAGAGAGAAAAAAAATCAATGAAACATATGATTACCTCTTAGGTATTTATTCAGTCTCTGAAATCCCACACTACAGTAAGCTACAAAAGCCTAATCAATAATTTTCATCAAATCCTAAACTTTCATACTCTTGCCATGTTTTTAACCCTGAAATAGAAATATTTTTATTTAGTTTTGAAAATGTGAATACTCTGCTGTTTTAGGTTTGAATAACTTATCCATTTCTGGGATCCTCACGCAATGTTTTCCTGCGATTAAAGTGAACTTCATTTAAATTGCTAACTGTTCTTTTTTTAATTCCTGATGTCTCCGCAGTTTATTTTTTTAGAGTAATCAGGACATAGCTGCCAACGGTCAATTATCTCACTCTCCATACGGCAACACGTCTGAAATCTGTTAGCACTTTTCAGATGAATAAATCAGAGATGCTTTTGAGACTAGCTTAAAACACCTGGATTTCTTTTATCTTTTATGTGACATTCCCTAAGTTACGATAGACGATATGATGGGTAACAGTGACTAGGAGCTTTGCCCCAGGGCCCCAAGGCTTCTGAGAGTGGCAGAATGAGATACCAGCATTTGAGAAACCATGCTTGGAAGTCAGCAACCAGGACCAGAACTGCTCCGGGCAGTAACAGTAACTACACACTACATAAAGCAGATGACATGTTTATAGGATGTGCACAGTACTGCTCATAAATGTCTTCGCTGGAGGACACTGACTCGCCCACAGTCACAGCATCAGGAAGTAGGGGGACCGAGATTCAGACCCAGGCAATGTGGCTGCAGAATCACACTTAGCTTCTGAGGAAGACAAGCTGGCTGTAAGAGCACCTGTCTGGCAGTGCGTTGATGAGGAGTGCTGCAGAAGATGCCAAGTTGTGGGAAGAATGCTGTTAAGGGGAATGGAGACACGGACATACTTACAGAGCATCTTTTCAACCCAATGAAACTATGACCTTCTTCAAAGGAAGCCGTTTCTCACACTATCTTTGAGAAGGAGTTAAGTATAGACTATCTCTACCTCTGTTTTCACAGATGGAAAATATGAGGTGCAGAGAGGGTAGCTGGCTTATCTAAGTGTACATAGCAACCCAGTAGCAGGCTGGGAATAGAACAGAACAGAGGTTGCTGACCTCCTGTCCAACACTCTGTCCATTAGTCCACACTGTCTTCTCAAGTTTCAGCCCCCGTTGCTATGGAAGAGACATCAAAATAAGTGTTTTAAGCTGCCACTGCTAAGAGCAAGAGTTCTAAATTTTTTTCTGCTAAAAGGGGACAGTGATTCAACTCTTCACAGGTAGCAGGCAAGGAGTTATTACAGGGATGCCTGGGTCAGCATTCTCCCAGTAAAAACACAGATGTAACTATAGCACATTCTCTATTTTTATTACAACATACATTTTGAACCACAGCTTTTTTTTTATAATATATAAACTTTCCATTGCTATAACACTTCTAATTTCCTTCAATGACCAAAGAATTCTTTCTGACAGATCACTCTGGACATAAAAAAGTAGTTAAAGTTTAGGCAGGTTTGAAGACATAGTGAATTAGCTTCTGAATTTTACTGCTGCTTTCCTACAGTCTCTTCAAATTTACTGTAAGCATCTTTAGTTTTCAAAGCTATTCGTTTTTCTTTTATTACCACTTTTATTCCCCAAAGATAATGGTTCTATTGCAGACTTTAGCCAGAAAGTTGCCAATGTTTGGTCGAAATTATTCTAACCACAAATATAAGACAGAGAATTGAAGAATTGTATCAGCTTTAAATCAACCATCCCACAGGTTATCTCCATGAGGAAGCAGTTCTAGATTCTAGAGCTATTAGACCAGGGACTAAGGATGGATCCTGAACTCCTCCTGCACTGTTTCAGTGGATGGCTTGTGGGTAAAGAAATGTCTTCAGCATATTTACACAGGCCAAAACCTTATACTCCTTACTGACATTTAAGATGGGAAGCATATGAGAAACTTCTGCCTTCAGAAAATATATTACAGAAAAACATATATTTTGGAGGATTAAACTGACACTGAAAAATGCACAATAATCATAGGGCAGTAGGGAATCTTACTTCCAGTGAATTCTGGTGACTTGTTAGGAGAATGCATTATCTAAGATGATCTTCTACTTTTAAATGATATTTTTCCTCAATAGTGACGTGGGTGCCATAATTTAGAACATATTATGATTAATATATGAGATTAGGGTAGTGATCCATGGCTAGAAAGTAAAAGGAAAAAAATGGACTGGGTTGTTTGAGGATCAGAAGCACAACACTGACTTGAGCAGTCCCAAGTTCTCTCTCGAGGGCTTCATCAGCTAGGCACGCAGGCAGACATGCACATCTTGCTCTACCACATTAAGTGTCACGGCTTCAGTTCAGATGAACAAATGGAAAAAAAAATAGAAAGAAGGGTCTTTCTGTATATAGGGGTCCTACAACATGAATGTTAACTATTTTAGGACAAAAAAAGTCCTATTGGGTGCCTTGCAGGCCTCAGAGAATGTGGTAGCATCCAAGAAGCAAAATATTTGGAGCCTCAGTTAATATTTTCCCATTCATTTATGGCCTATATTACATGTAAGCTATTGACAAAAATGTACATTTCAAATTCTGAAACCCTCATTACTTAAAACAGCAAAAGTTACCCAAAAAAACATTTATCAAAACTGTCAATTTAATCTGTAACTATTCAGTTTCCCCTGAATAGAACAAGCTGAACACAAAAGACACTGGAATATATTAAAAATAGAAGGGCCAGCTCTGTGACATAGCAGGTAAACCTGCTGCCTGCAGTGTTGCCATCCCATATGGGCGCTGGTTCGAGTCCTGGCTGCTCCACTTCCGATCCTGCTCTCTGCTATGGCCTGGGAAGGCAGTGGAAGATGGCCAAGGTGTTTGGGCCCCTGTACCGTGTGGGAGACTCTGAAGAAGCTCTAGGCTCCTGGATTCGGAATGGCCCAGCTCCAGCCATTGCGGCCATTTGGGGAGTGAACCAGTGGATTAAAGATCTCTTTTTCTCTCTGCCTCTGCCTTTCAAATAAGTAAATAAATCTTTAAAAAAAATTGAAGACTAAATTTTTTTAGAGAGGCATTTTAATACTTGGTATCTTGTTTCATTACATGCAACAAATAAGTATTATTTTCTTATTCAGATGCAAGTGGAACAGATTTCAAAGTCTTTGGAGGTGGTGCTGCAAGTGTCTTGGGTCCTTACTGGTGTTTTCCCATGTCACAGGAGTGGCTACTGATCTGAAATAGGTACATTTGCCTAGCTGTCTCTACCCTTCCACCTGAAGCCACACATTACATTCTACCACCTTTGTTTACTCTGCTGACATTTTAGTGCTCAGTATCCTACCATGTGATGTCATATCCACGGTAATTAATTTCTGTGTGAACATTACAACAGAAAAATGTACCTGTAAATGATGCAGCACAAAATCTGATATTATCATTAAACAGATCCAAGAATTTGCTTTCAGTTCAACATACTAATGTGTAATCTTTCAGAACTGCTGCTATCACTAACATCAGGGCAGCTTTTTTTTTGAGAAGGCTATGCTGCAAGACAACTGAAATTCAATTTCTTACTCTAAATTATGAACTCCAAAGTGAGTAAAATATTTGGTGTCAGAATTAATGCTTTGAACACCAACACTGCATTTATAGTCCTTAAAAGAATAAGGATGACAAGCTGGTTGGATTTTTCACATAGTTTCACTCCAGGAGGGTCTTGTTGAGAGAAGAGATTTGAAAGGATTTAGAATCGTGGTACCACAGTATGACCACTTTTCATGCAATTACAGAAGAAAGCTTGAAGAAACCTTTGTGACGGCTGGCAAGTGTGCATTCTGCTCATTTAAAGTTAGAATATCTTCACTTTTATTTGTCAGGAATTGTGATTATCCCATACTTTTCTCTAGTATAAGCAACAGTGTTTTGAATATGGAAAGTACTTGACGCTTCTTGGCCTGAAAACTCAGATTCTCACTTAAATCCTACATGTCTGTGCTCTGTATTATATAGAGGATGGCACTGAAATTAGGTGCCAGAGAGTACCTGTCTGTTCAGAAGATAGTGGTGATTCCATGTCCTTAGTGAGTTTAGTGAATAAAGTTGGGTTGAACAGAGAATCTGCTAAGATTTCTGGAAGTAATGACATGTCACTGTACGTGGTATTTCTTGCTTGGAGCAAAGAAAACTGTCCCACTTTAAACCAGTTAGGTAGACATATTAGTGAGCTCTTTCAAAAGAGACTCATGATCTTGGGTCTCCTCATTCAGAAGAACGAGGAAATGCTTACACAAAGGTGGGGTTCTGACGAGGGAAATCCAGTGAAGTACTGCTTACAGGATCGCCCTGAAATTTCATCTCATCTTGTATTGAATCAGCTGAGGAATTGAAGAAATACCTTAATGTCCTCCAAAGGAAGAAGGCTTGAAACAGCAGGAATTCATTGTCTTTGGCTACAACTATTTCTAAAGGGAACCCTGGAACAGCTTCTTTGTGGAGAAGGATTCTAGAAATAGTTTCTGAGCCTAGAAGCAATAAAGAACAAAAATGGGTGTTTGTTATGTCTACATCCAGTCTGCTGTTCCCTACTCTGCTTCTGAGTGGGAACCACTACTCCCTCGACCTGTTGTTTTCTTGAATGACTTTTAAAGACTCTCCAAGCACCTTGCACTGTCCAGAAGAGCTATTTCCACAAGGCCCCTTGGACTATGTCAGGAGTACAGATGTTTAGCTGCCAATTCTTAAACCCAAGTCCTACACAACAAAATTCTGGAAAGAAACCTCTTGTAACATGCAGTAACAGAATCACATATTGGTCCTTTATATTTAAAATTCTGAGGTCCCCCCCCCATATCCTAGGAAGCCCATCAAAAGCCGTACCAATAAAAATATTTCAAAAAAAAGGTTGATATGTTTAAGAATTACAGAATTTTAGAAACACACCAGAATTTTACAAGGGTGTTGAAGTAT